TTATATATTGCGTAGGAACACCCTGGTTGCCCAGGGCTTCAATTACCGCTTCTGTCTCAACGGTGTCAAAGGCTTTCTTCAAGTCGATAAACGTAAGACATAGCGGCATTTTGTACTCTCGCGATACTTCAATGAGCCTTGAAGTATCGCGAGAGTACAAAATGCCGCTATGTCTTACGTTTATCTTGAGCGACAAATATATGCCATCAAAATGATGGGAAAACAATTGTCCATCTATCTCCTCGAAAATAAGGCCTTCCCTGTCGCCATGGACCAAGACTTGTATGTCTTCCTTGTATGGGTTTCGAAATCCACTATGGCAAAACTCGTCCGCCACTGGGCGTGCCATACAGCCTAAACAACTCCTTATACCCTTTATAACGCCCAACAACGCCGCTTGTGGAACACTAACCCAGAATCTCATTGAATGTGTGGGATACCGTGCTGTTGAGGGCCTACCATCAAAGGTAACCATGAGGAACAGAACAGATATTCCAACTGAAAGAATCCATGAAGTACTGCATTTTAGAAATACAGCTCCCGAAAAAGGGAGAAACTTGTCGCGTCGTTATGAATAATTATGGCATCCAGGAAGGATATGATTTTGTCGATAGGCAAAATGGTTTTTTCATGTAGCGTGCTTCATTTTTGCTCCTATTTTCATGAAACCCGTCTGCAGGAGTTGGAAGCTGGTACGAAAGTTAATAACGGTAGGCACTTCAATGACGATGCATTTAGTCCGCTGCAAAGGGTACCTAATAGTAAAAGGAAGACAACTGAATGAGTTCAACCCTAGTAGGGTATTTTCAGAAAGGCGTTCCCCTCGAGGAAATTTGCGAAGAAATCGGTTTTCTAGACTAACGGCGTATTTGACTCATTGTTAGCGATATATCCGAATGAAGTTCACTTGTAAATATCGTTTCAAATCTACGTTAGCCTCTATCGGCCACTTTAAGCTTTGAAAATTTCCAGTTCATTCTGTACTATTATGCCGTACAGGTCAACAACCAATGGTGGAAAAAGTTGCTTACCACATGCGAGTCGAACTTAAATTGAAGGAAGATGAATGATTTTCTTCACCAGTATCAGATGTGGCTCAACCCCCAGCTATCGGCGAATATCAAGAAACCGATCATTGTCGATTCTTTAATACCAACAAACACTGGTAAAATTCTAAGAAGAAGTCGAATCTCCTGGCGTGTTTCGAAAAAGGACTAAATCAAGTTCGGAAACTATTGCATTCAAATATTTTTTCGTTTACAACCCAACCAACATGGAGGAACACTGGAATCTTACTCTTCGCTTAGTGAAGTTTACTGGCCCTTGAGCCTTGTCATCCCTGAGATATCCTGACAAGCTACCTGGAGACCATGCAGCCCCCCGGTGGGGCACGGCAAACTGCTTGAGGGTGTGCTATAAGCCAAAAACAGTTAACAAAACTGTGATATGAATGGGTCTGATTCTCCTGAACATGAGGGATCCCTCACTTCGGCATTCTCAGAGGAAAAGGACCAAGATGGCGATCTGTATGTTCAACGGGCGAACGCTCGCATCGGAATTATGTATCGAAAATCTGATAATGCAAGCCACGAAGATCAAGTACGAGGCCATCGGAATGAACGAGTCGAGAAGGCATTCATGATTGGCCGCCGCACGACTTTTCAAAACTGGAGAAGAATTGTTCCCTGGAACGTTGTTCTTTGAAAAAATGTTCCCAAAAATATGTGGCTCAAACTCAACCTCAATCGAGCTAGGAATCTCCTGCGCCTACTCACTAACATCAAACTAGGAGAGCTGGAAGCGTCTGATATGCACCTGGCAAGGCTCTTCAGAGAGATCCACACTTTTTTTTCAAAGTCTTATTGGTGATTTAACCCATTGACGACCATGACGTTTTGCAGGAAAAGCGCCGCGAGGGACCGGCGCGCTTTTCGTCCACTCGCGTCTACAGCCCACATGTGGACTTCATGGTCCAGCATGACCATTTTTTGAAGTTTATAAGAGAAAATTATAAGTTTTTCGGAATGTTTCTTTAAATGG